GAGACGTTATAGAAGTGGCAGGAGGCTGTTGGGGTGCTGGGTCCCTCTCTCCCTCACTCATGGAGGAGATAAATTAAAACAGTTCAAGACCGTGTGCAGAAGGCAGGATCCCTTATGCCCTGCGGGGTTTGAGTCCTGGCCCTGGTGGCTTGAAAAGCACACCAGGCCCACGCGCTCAGGATCCCGAGGGGACAGAAGACTGGGGATAAAAAGACTGCGGTGCGATCAGGCCGTGCTGGGGGGGTCTTCTCTCTCTCTCCCTCTCTCTCTCTCTCGTGCGCACATGTATAAGTGTTCTCTATCACAAGTAAAATAAAGTTAAAAAGAAGCCTATCAAAGTCTGGAAGACGGCGGAAGTCCTTCTGCCTGGGAGCCTGGGAGGGGCAGGAACGCTGGCGGCAGCAGCTCCTGGCTGCTCTAAGCCCCTGGCCCCACCCCGGGCTTCATTCCTCCCTCAAACACTGAGTCGTCACACCACCAGCCTGGTGTGGGCCTGCCCAGCCCAAGGGCCACGGAGATGAGGAGCCAGCACAGGGCCTGGTCAGGAAGGGGGGCTCCAGAGAGGGAAGGAGGGGAGAGGACCCTGAGCTGGACCACTCCACAGACCTGGGGCCTTCCACCGCGTGGTGCAGCCCCGCCTCTGTGCCTGCTATGCCACGTGGCCCCGGCCTCTGCCACTTGCTCCTGGGTGCCCATGACAGCTCCCGCGCCCACCCCACCCTGGCACACCTGCCTCACGTGCGCCCACATGCCAGCGGGGCCATGTGGAGCCAGCGCTCCTGCAGGCTGGCCTCTGCCCCTCATGCCCTCAGCCGACCTCCCTGCCCTCCTGCTCCACCTCTGACTCGCCTCGCCACTCTCTCCACGCAGCCCGTGTCCCCACGCACGCCTACCTGGGCCCCAGCCCCTCGCCATGCTCCTCTGCCTGGGGAATTTCCGGTCCTTTTCCAATGCCCTGTTCAAATACCACCTCCTCTGTGAGGCCTCCCCTGGTTTCCCAGAGACCCAGCTCTCATCACATCAGGCTGTGCTGGGGTCACATGGCTGACCCCGACTAGGAGCTCCAGCCGAGGGTATCTGCCTTCTTTTTTAATAAGATGTTTGTACTTCAGGGTGTGTACACTCTCTGGAGAGAGAGACAGAGACAGAGAGAGGGAAAGTGAGAAAACACCCCCCAGGGGAGATGGCCACGCTGCAATCCCTCCATTCTCCTGGGATCTTGGACATGCATGCATATGTGCCCAGAATGAGCTTCAAGCCACCGGGTCCCGGACTCAAACCACGAACAGCCATGTGGGAGTCCAGACATAACCGCTAGGCCACATGCTGGCCCTGGGGCGCCCTGACGTCTCTGTACCCCCAGCCCACAGGCAGCACCCAGTGTTTGCTGAAAGTACGGATGAATGAGACAAGGATGGCGACCTTGAGAGCAGGGGAGAACACACAGCAGGAAGAGGGGGAGGCAGGGAAGGGACGGGGCGGTGGGCGGGGGGGGACATAACCGCTAGGCCACATGCTGGCCCTGGGGCGCCCTGACGTCTCTGTACCCCCAGCCCACAGGCAGCACCCAGTGTTTGCTGAAAGTACGGATGAATGAGACAAGGATGGCGACCTTGAGAGCAGGGGAGAACACACAGCAGGAAGAGGGGGAGGCAGGGAAGGGACGGGGCGGTGGGCGGGGGGGCACGGAGCGGGGACACGGTGCACTCGCCATGCATGTGACGGACCCACGTGACTGAGCGGAGGGCGCCCGGGTGGGAGGTGGCAGACACACAGAGAAGGCATAAGGCCCAGCCGGGACGGGCAGGGGTGCCGGGCCCCTTCTGCCCCCGCGGCCG